TCTTGCTGTGTTCTCATTGTATCTTTAATCATGCTATCATCTGCCAGATTCCCTAATAAAAACCTGAGGGTAGCTCTTGCTTCCTGCTCCTGTTTTTCCCACATTCAATCAATCTCCAGAACCTACCTCAGAAATGCCACCTGCTCCTGGCGTCCCTCCCTTCCCATTCTCACTGCCTGGGCTCAAGCCCTCACCCCTCCTATCTGGACACAGCACATGCTCATTGCTGTCTTCACCACCCACCTCTACTACCTCTTAAACCCATCTCCATACCACCACTCAACTCATCTTTCTCAAGAACTGCTTTGGCCACCTCATCCTCATCTGAAAGACCTTTGCTGGCCTCCTTCTGCCTGCAAAGCCTCCAATATCATCCCAAATCACAACCTCTGAAGGCTGTCGTCCTTCCCTCTTCCCACATTCCATCTCCGCACCTGCTAAAGTGTATGCATGTATTACATAAGCCACTCAGAACTTCTCACAATTCACCCACACACACCCTACTCTTGCCTGCCTCTGAGATGTCTTTACTTGTTCTGCCCCAACTAACTGGAGTGCCCCTCTTTTATCCTTCACCTGCAAAATTCATTCTTATTTCATTCAATTCTCACAAATCTGAGAGTGGGTGGATATTGTTAACCCTTTGCTATATATAGGCAAACAAGTCAGAGCATTAAAGTAACTGGCCCCAGTTCAAACACCTAGTAATTGTCAGAGCTGCTGTTAGATACAGGCTGTCATTTAGTCCATTTTCTAGAGTTCAGTAGGCTGCTGCATCATTACGGTGTGACTATTTTACTGTTCGGCTCTTATTTGTCTCTTCAATTTCTGCGGCTTTCCCTTGGTCCGAAAGGAAACAAAACTAAGGTTTTGTAGTGCTGCTGCCACCCCTGACACCCTAAGGAGTTGGTGTTTCAGTTGCCAACCAGAGTTGAGTGGTCTTTTAAAAATGCAAATCTGTACATGACATATATATATATTTTAACTTTAAGTTCTGAGATACATGTGCAGAACATGCAGGTTTGTTACATATACACATGTCATGGTGGTTTGCTGCACCCATCAACCCATCATCTACATTAGATATTTCTCCTAATGCTATCCCTCCCCTATTCCCTCACTCCCTGACAGGCCTCAGTGTGTGATGTTCCCCTCCCTGTGTCCATGTGTTCTCATTGTTCAACTCCCACTTATGAGTGAGAACATGTGGTGTTTGGTTTTCTGTTCCTGTGTTAGTTTGCTGAGAGTGATGGTTTCCAGCTTCATCCATGTCCCTGCAAAAGACATGAACTCATCCTTTTTTATGACTGCATAGTATTCCATGGTGTATATGTGCCACATTTTCTTTATCCAGTCTATCATTGATGGGCATTTAGGTTGGTTCCAAGTCTTTGCTACTGTGAACAGTGCTGCAATAAACATACATGTGCATGTGTCTTTATAGTAGAATGATTTATAATCCTTTGGGTATATATCCAGCAATGGTATTGCTGACTTAAATGGTATTTCTGGTTCTAGGTCTTTGAGGAGTTGCCACACTGTCTTCCACAATGGTTGAACTAATTTACACTCCCATCAACAGTGTAAAAGCATTTCTATTTCTCCACATCCTCACCAGCATCTGTTGTTTCCTGACTTTTTAATGAGTGCCATTCTAACTGGCGTGAGATGGTATCTCACTGTGGTTTTGATTTGCATTTCTCTAGTGACCAGTGATGATGAGCTTTTTTCATATGTTTGTTGCCTGTGTAAATGTCTTCAAGAAGTGTCTGTTCATATCCTTTGCCCACTTTTTGATGGGATTTTTTTTTCTTATAAATTTGTTTAAGTGCTTTGTAGATTCTAGATATTAGCCCTTTGTCAGATGGATATATTGCAAACATTTTCTCCTATTCTGTAGTTCACTCTGGTGATAGTTTCTTTTGCTGTGCAGAAGCTCTTTAGTTTAATTAGATCCCATTTTTCAATTTTGGCTTTTGTTGCCATTGCTTTTAGTGTTTTAGTCATGAATTCACAAGCATCCCTATACACCAATAATAGACAAACAGAGAGCCAAATCATGAGTGAACTCCCATTCACAACTGCTACAAAGAAAATAAAATACCTAGGCATACAACTTACAAGGGATGTGAAGGACCTCTTCAAGGAGAACTACAAACCACTGCTCAAGGAAATATGAGAGGACATGAACAAACGGAAAAACATTCCATGCCCATTGATAGGAAGAATCAGTATCATGAAAATGGCCATGCTGCCCAAAGTAATTTATAGATTCATTGCTATCCCCATCAAACTACCATTGACTTTCTTTACAGAATTAGAAAAAAACTACTTTAAATTTTATATGGAACCAAAAAAGAGCCCATATAGCCAAGACAGTCCTAAGCAAAAAGAACAAGCTGGAGACATCATGTTACCTGACTTCCAACTGTACTACAAGGCTACTGTAACCAAAACAGGATGGTACTGGTACCAAAACAGATATATAGACCAATGGAACATAACAGAGTCCTCAGAAATAACACCACACATCTACAACCATCTGATCTTTGACAAACCTGACAAAAACAAGCAATGAGGAAAGGATTCCCTGTTTAATAAATAGTATTGGGAAAACTGGCTAGCCGTATGCAGAAAACAGAAACTGGACCCCTTCCTTACACCTTATACAAATATTAAATCAAAATGGATTAAAGACTTAAACATAAGATCTAAAACCATAAACCCTAGAAGAAAACCTAGGCAATACCATTCAGGACATAGGCTGTGCATGCTATTCTGATGTCACTACCCATGCACTGGCCTGAATCCCCTTAATGGCCAATTTCCCACTGCTCTTGAGAGGATCTTACATTTCCCAAAAATGGTCTACCTGAATTCTTTGCAGGGTTTCCTGCCTACCTGTGTAGCCTCCCTCACACTATGCCCTGCTCACCTCTCCACACCTGCCATGCTGGCCTCCTTTCTATCCTTGAATCCACTATGCTCCCTCCAATCACATGGCCCTTGTCATGTTCTTCCTTCTACCTGAATGTTCTTCCCCCTCTTCTTGGTCAAGTTAACTCCTTTATCATCTTTCAGGCTTTGACTCAAACGTCACTTCTTTGGGGAGCCCACATTTAAACACCAGTGATCTGTAATTTAAAAGGCCAAGCTTTTCCCACAAACCATGTTGTCTCTTCTTTAAACACTCTGCATATAAACTGACAAAAGAAATCTAAAACATATCAAGAGTATCTGATTGAGCATTGCCCTTGCCAAAATGAAGAAAATTGATTCTTCTTATCTGGCGAGTCTAAGACTGGCCCTAGGCATCAGACATTTCCTAATAATGACACCATCAAATAGCCCACTCTGAACATCATCATTCAATTTCCCCTATACTTCTTACACTTCTACTGTATCTCATATGACATCTAGCTTGGTACTGAATACTTAACAAAATGTTTAAGTATGCTTATTATTGGTTGACTACTTGACCAGTAAGTTTCAATTGGGACATCTTTTTTTTGAAAACGGTTTGGCAGTTTCTCAAACAATTAAACCTACAACTATTATATAACCCAGCAATGTCACTTCTGGACATTTATTTCAGAGAAATGAAGATTTATGTTCACATAATAACCTGTACACAAATGTTTATAGCAGCTTTATTCATCATAGTCAAAACTTAGAAACTACCAAGATATCCTTCAACGAGTAAATGGCTAAACAAACTTTGGCACATCCATACCATAGAATACATCAAAAATAAAAAGAAACCCACCACGTTGACACACACAGCAACCTAGATGAATCTCCAGAGAAGTACGCCGAGTGAAAAAAGCCAGTCCTTAAAGGCTCTATGCTTTATGATTCATTTGTATAACATTCTTGAAATGACAAAATGACAGAAATGGAAAACAGACTAGTGGTTACCAGGGTTTAAGGAGAGCATGCAGGTGGAGGGGAAGTGATGTAGCTATAGGGGACAAAAAGGGAGACACTTGTGGTAAGGAAATACTCTTTACTTTGACCGTATCAATATTAACACCCTGGTTGTAACATTGTACTACAGTTTTTCAAGATGTTACCATTAGGGGAACTGGGTAAAAAGTACAAGAAATCTCTCTGCATTATTTCTTACAACTACATGAGACTCAACAGTTATTTCAATTAAAATTAAAGTGTGTTTTTTTAAAAGAGACCCATTTAATAAAATGTTCGTGAACACTGAGGTGTTCACAAACACGTAATAACTGTGATGCCACTAAATGTCTTCTTTATTTTCTTTTCTCATGGTTTTTTATTTATTACTACTAAGGATTTTATTTTCCTCTATTTAAGACATACATAACATTGATCACTTTCAGGCTGTTTTCACAATGACTGAGAAATATATTATATTAGAATCCTAATTTTTTATGCCCCTTCGTTGCCTGTCATATATTTCTCTGAATGTTTTTCATCCTGATCAAGATACAATTTATAGAACTGTTGGTTTGTACTTCAATCTCTGGCAATACCATAACAACAAAGTATAATAAGGCCTTTATCACTCCCTATGTAAGAAATGTTTTTTGAAGTAGCACTTCTGCCCTGCCACCTCAAATCTCTTTGTCTGGTTCTCAGGGTTCTCTGAGCTTAGTATTAGTATTATACTTCAATAGGTTGTTATTGTTTGGAAAACTTTGTTTTGACTGGCTGTTGTTCAAATTTCTCTTCGGTCCTTTTCATCTCTTCATCATTTCCCTGCGAAAGTTTAATACATTCTGCTGGTATCACCCTTATTGGATTTCCATTCCATTTTCTGTTATCTTTGACTAACACAGTTTATTTAGGTGTTAACTTTTTTCCCCCAGTTATTGAAGTGGTTGTAAAAGTCCACATTGTGATAGAAATCTTTGCTCAGAGAGTCCATGACCGCTTGGAAGTGTTTACTGTAAACAGAGCAGGATCAGTACCACATTTTATTCATTTTCATGCTTTAATGTAAAAATTCTTTTTGCTTTCTCTTTCAGTGAGTACAGAAAAAATCCAGGAACATATCACCAACCAGGTATTCTCTCACTTCTCATAAACTCTAATATAGAATTTTGTTTCAAATGTTAATAATTAAAGATGTGTAAATGTAAAAAAGGCGGGGGGTAATTTTAGCTGTTAGTTATGAGCAATATATATGTTACTAGTTCTGGGGAAAAAAACATATTTGGTCATATGTAGATGATCATGCACTTTCTTTGTCTTCTCCCAAGCCAAGTCCTTCCCTACCACATCCTACCCAAACAGGAAACAGTAGACTAATGAGACTCTGCCAGTTCTAACTTGCAAGTGTCTCTCTGACCTGATTGTGACCTCTGCATTGATACTATCATGGCAGCAAATAGATATTTCCATCTGCTTTTCCCTTAACTAAGGTTACTGTCCGTGATTTTCTCAGGTTTTCATTCAATCAGCTCAAAGTCACTGCCTCCCAAACAGCTAAGAACTGGCCCCCTATACACCACAAGTTGATCTTCCATTCTGGTCTTTTGTTTCTACTCACAGTTGACCAGCATCTTCCTGTGTGCATCACGGTTTTCTTATCCCATCTTCTTACTGATTTATTTCTGTATTTCTAGGTAGATGGTGTCCTTCTATAGAACCGTTTTAGGAGCTTGAGACCTGCAGCCACACAAACAAACCAAGGGAGAGCTTCCCCCAAAGCACATCTTGCCCTATCCACCTACTTTTCCCCCAGGCCAGCTTAGCTACAGTTTCTCCAAACCCTGCCTGTGCCACTAGACTCAGAAAATGCAGACATTGACCTGTGGAAAAATATGCTTGGGTTTCACCCATAGGTACAAATTTCCATATCTTCTTTCTTTATTCCTTTCAATGGCATAAATTACAACTCATCCTTACCAAAGAGAAGGGTGGTAAATCTACATTTATACCAATTAAAAGTGCATTTTTCAACCTTCTAAGTGCACTCCAAAAGAAATTCCAATTCTAGTTCCTATTGTCAGTCCATCCCAATAAAATTCTAGTTTTACCCAATCTGTGCCAGATGCCCTGTAACTCATCAAGCTTTCAAAATTGTCAACCCATTTGGCTAATATACTATTTTTCAAAATCAGTAGCCAAAATTTAATCAGGTGCCCTTTTGTTTTTGAATACACGTTGACTTCTAGTAGCAACTCTCTTAATACTTGAAAATGCCATCATTGTGAAATAGCAAAATCAATTGGCCATTTCAAATAGTTCATTTGCCTTTTGAACATAGTTTCTTTCTTTCTTTTTTTTTTTTTTTTTTAGATGGAGTCTCGCTCTGTCACCAGGCTGGAATGCAGTGCCACAATCTCGGCTCACTGCAACCTCCACCTCCCAGGTTCAAGCGATTCTCCTGCCTCAGCCTCCCAACTAGCTGGGACTACAGGCATGTGCCACCACGCCCAGCTAACTTCTGTATTTTTAGTAGAGACCGGGTTTCACCATGTTGGCCAGGATGGTCTCGATCTCTTGACCTCATGATCGGCCTGCCTAAGCCTCCCAAAGTGCTGGGATTACAGGCGTGAGCCACTGCACAGGCCCTTAGTTTCTTTATTATTGCATTTTAAATTATTTGTATGTACTCAAGTGGTTTGGTGAGGCTCAGCAACAGTTAGCCAGTAAAGTTTACTGCTGCTATTTTTATTTATTTAAATCATATGGGAATACTTGACCTGTTTTCCTTATAAATGTAACAACCTACCTGTTTCCCTTATTAACAACCTAAAGCAGTTGGTCAAAAAATATACTAAGGTCACTTCTGATGGGTAGATTTTCATCTCCTGTTTTTGCTTCTTTTACATTTAGCAAAACTAACAAAATATGTAGACACCAAAATGGAATGCCACATATTTACTCATAATCTTAAATATTAATCTGATGCCAGATAAAATTATAATGGTTTTCGGTCTCAATAAGAGAGTGAAATTCTTTAGATTTTAACTGAAGAGGGAAAGGTCTTAATATTTTAATTATGTAGTCATTCTCAGAACAGATCATTATCTCATTCAGTCATTGCTTATATTTCTAATCCTACAATGAAATTTCTATCCATTCTTCTCCCAAGTAGAGAAATGCTCTCCATTCTCAAGAATGATACACTGGCAATACAATTCAAAAAGGTATCTTATACCTCTAGTTTATATAAACTCTGGCAAAAAGTAAAGAAAGTCACCTTCTTTTTCAAATCACTATGCCACCAAAATAGTTTGGCTCTTGAAAAACATTTTTGAAAGCCCACTTTAGATAATCAATACAGCATTTTTTATCAGAAAGAAAGGCAAAATGGAACACTGCTGAGCGTTAATCTTGTCCCTAAATCCTTCCCACTAGGCACTATAGATTGTGTAATTAAATTGAAATTGAAAACCGAGTCTTCCCGCACCCCCCCCCCCCACCCCGCCCACATCAGGCAGGCTATGAGTTGTGCACCAACGTGAGAAATCAGGAGCGGAGCGGAAGCTCTAGCCTGCTGGCTAATATCCAGCCTGTGCTTTTAGCCCATGGCTATTTTACCACACCTGAGCTCTGAGAACAAATAACTATTTGAGTCCTCTGGAGGGAACGCTGGATTCTTTCCTGTGCAATTCACTGGGGAAATTAGTTTGCTTTTTAAAAGTAACTTGTTAACGCAGCTTGTTTACCAGAAGAGGACAAAAATGAGCAGTGAACTGCTTGGTAGCCTCTGTTCTAGAATGGGATAAATGCATGACCCAATTTTTTTTTCAGCTGTCTCTTTGGCAGTTCCTTGCTGCAATCATTTCCTATCTGAAAAATGTTACTTGTAGAGATGAAATTTTCTATAGGTTTTCTAAGTAATTTTTATGATACTAGATGAAAGATAACACTTTAAAATATTACCAAAAATGCTTTCAAAATAAAATTATACATGGTCAGCATAAGAATGGGAAAACTGAATGTAAATTGTTAATTGAATTTTTGGAAACTGCCTTATTATATAAAAGACAATTTAAACCTTTTATGTTTATGCCTTTTTATATAGCAGATAATTGAAACCCTCAGTGAATTAATACCTTGTGTTTGTGCCGCTAGATGACAAAGAGGGACACCGAATGTGGGGCTCTGTTTCTGGTGCAGAGGATGTCTATGTTGTGGAGAACGTTCACAGACAGGTGCTCTCTATGAGAAATGCTTGCCCTCACTGACAACCCAGTGCAGAGAGGCAACACCAGTGCAGGCCCTTACAGCTCTGTATTTGGTCCCTAGGGCTGCCATAACAAAGTACCATGAAGACGTGCCTTAAAATAACAGAAATGTATTGTCTCACATCGAAAAGAGGGTGTCAGCAGGGCCATGCTCTCTCTGAAACCTGTAGGGAAGGAGCCTTCCTCGCTCTTTTTATCTTCCAGGGCTTGCCAGCAATCCTTGATATTCCTTGGCTTACAGCCGCATCATTCCACTCTCTGCCCCTGTGGACACATGGCTGCCCTCCCGTTGTGTCCCTCCCCTTATAAGAATCCCAGCCATCCTGGCTTAGGGCCTTCCCTCAGTGAACTTCTCTTAACTTAATCGCAGTGGCAGAGACCCTATAATCAAATAAGGTTGTATTCTTAGGTACTAGGAGTTAGGACTTCAACATATCTGTTTGGGGGATATAATTTGACCCATAACAAGCTGGAAACCTCAGAGTCATCCTCGACTCCATCTCTCCCTCTGAGCACTGGGCACCTCTGATGGGATCTCCTGTTGACCTCTCCCAACCAGCTCCTCACCTCCACCCATAACCCCTGCTTCATCCATGCCCTTGTCTCATTTCCTCGGTGATTTCTTGAGGCTCTCCTGTTAGCCTCACCACCTTTCTGTTCATCTTCCATTCTGCTGCAGTTTGCAGTAGTTTGCAGTTTTAAAATATCATCTTGCTGAGAAATAAAAACTAAGTAGAAAAACCTCCTCATTCCTTGTTAACAGTAATTTTAACCCTAACTGGGCGTTATAGTCACCTCTGAAACTTGTTAGCACAGATCCTGAGACCCCATCTCCAATTCGAACCCCAAGGCATTCTGGGTCAATAGCTCTAGACTTGGGTTAAGATCCAGCACAACCCTCAGACCCGACCAAGAAAGGTCACAGGCTTTAGGAGTCTCCAAGCATCACAAAAACAGCCATGCAAAGACAGATTGTTCTTTTTCTCAGCCTCATGTTTTAAAGTTTCATGACCAATTGAGAGCTCACAAAATGTGGAAAGGAACATAGCAGCTGAACTGGATCATCTGGACAAATGGGACGGACCAATAAAAGAGTGAAACTCCCTTATTGAGAGAGGTGGGGCTGTGTGGGCCCTGTGAAATCAAAGAAAGAAGGGATGTTTTCGTTTCTAGATAGCCACCCAATAGCCCCCAAAGTGGGAGGACATACAGGCAGACCGTGTTCCCCAGCTAACTGTACTGCCACCATCCCCTCTGCTTGGGGAGGGGCTGTGGAGTGGGTGAGTATAGTTTCAGCTGGGGCTTAGAACTCCTGGTAATCTGGAACCAGAAAAGGAAAACATGAGGTAGGAGAACATGTTCTCCTCAGTAACCAGAAGACCTGGACTGAGTCATTTCCATCCTTGATGGGGACAGATGCAGGCCCTGCCCACGAGTCCCCAGGCTAAGTCCAGGGTCCATCCTGTTCCCCCCACTGAAGTTCCAAGCAACCAATCAGACCTCTAGTGTAGGACGGCCTTGAGGGACAGCAGGGCTCCTTAAGTCTCCTAGTCCCAGAGCAGTCCCTTGGATGGGAACAAGGACCAGGTCTTGGGTGTAGCTTCCCTTAACACTTAGAAATAGTTCCACATATAGTATGTGGACCTCCATTCATGCTCTTGCTGTAGGCCCCACAAATGTTGGGAATGATCCTGCTCAGACATTTGCAATTTCAAAAACTCAATATGTGATTCTGATGGAAAGCCATATAATACATTTCTTTTTTTTTTTTTTTAATACCTTAAGTTCTAGGGTACATGTGGATAATGTGCAGGTTTGTTACATATATATACCTGTGCCATGTTGGCGTGCTGCACCCATCAAC